ACTGTTCTCCCCTTTGCGTTCCAATGCTACTCGGTAGTGTAGCAATTTGCTGAAAAGTGTCCTGTCACGCGTTTCGTGAGTAATCTCTCACTTCATCAGAGGTCAGCTTCTTTTTAGTGGGAGCCCTGTTATTTCCAGTAGAGTAGTATCTCTAGCCATACAATTTACTCTAAATCTGAGATTTTTAATCTCAACCACATAGTACAGCGGAGGCGCCTTTAGTGGGCATCAATGAAACAACCTCTAGAAGTGTGTTTAACCCTTCAAGGTAAATTGCAAAATGGCAATGTTTTAGCTTGAATGGTTAAATTGACAGGACTGCTGCACACAGGCCACTACACTCAGAAGTGGCCTGAGTGACCTTACTGGTCCTTTAAGCCCTTTCACAACCATGTCTTACATTCCTATAGATTACTATAAAATTATTAGGAGAGATAATTTCTCTGATGGCGCTATATAATAAAATAAGAAGAAGGAGAAATATAGTTTAATTTCAACGTCATCATGCAGCATTTTCCACAAAGATTTGGAAATCCACTTCCTTACTAGTCTGTCTTATCTTTAAATGGGCAAACAAATAAAATCTCTGCAAATAAAGGTTATGGGCCAATTTACTAATTGGCACCAAGCCTTTTTCAAACCAAAAACTATTCACTTTTAGCGTTGTCCTGGCACTCAAAGCTTGCTCCTTCTTAATTTGTATTCATCACGCCATATGAATACTTGGACACATAATGGAGAACTGAAACCTCCTGCTGAGGGGGTGGGCTTTGGATGCAGGAGAATCATCCTGTTTTGCCAAATCACTTGAGAACTTTTGGACATGAATTAACAAGACCGTATCCATAGCCTACTTGCAACATAAGCACTACAAGAAGCAGTAGAGGTCATTATGTTCGGAAGGTGCATTAACAATATCAAAGAGTATTAAACCTTTCGGTAGTTTTCAAATAAAATCATGCTATGTTATAACTGTTGACAAACATGCTAGGAACACATTAACTTGCAAAGGGGAACAGAAATCAGAAGGTAGAAATATAGACTTACAATCCCTTTTATGTAATGACAAAAATACATCAAAGAGACTCACAGAAAGTCCACATGCACAAATTAAAGGGACACTCTAAGCACAAAAGCAGCTTTAGCTAAATTACACCGCTTTAGTGTATAGATCATAGTCTCACTGCTCAATTCTCTGCCATTTAGGAGTTAAATCACTTTGTTTATGCAGCCCCAGCCACGCCTCCCTACAAGTGACCTACAGTCTCCCTACACATTTCCTGCAAAAAGAGAGATCTAATTTAAAGTTCCTTTATTGCACAGTGCATTTTAATTTAGAATTTCTCTCTGTCACAAGCCTGCAGGAGCCTCCTATGTGTGATTAAAGTTAAATTAACAGAACAGGCGATAACATAAAACACTATGCTGTAAGATCCGTAGCGCTGTACAATGGGATAATTGAAAATGAAACCATGTTTTCATGCAAGCTGTGCGAGTCACATGCAGCACAGGTGTGGCTAGGGCTGCATAAACAAAAACAAAAGTGATTTAACTCCTTAGTGACAGAGACTTGGGCAGTGAGACTGCAGGGGCATGATCTATACACAAACTGCTTTATTAAGTTTTGGTGCTCAGAAGGTCTCTAAGTAAAACCACAAATGTTCTGCAAACAAGTCTCTAACTAAAAATTTATCAAAATGTATACCCCACAGCCTTAAAAAGACACTATTGGCACCCAGACCACTTCATCTCATTGAAGTGATCTGGGTGCAGTGTACCTATTCCCCTTAATCCTGCAATGTAAAACATTGCCGTTTTTTGAGAAACTGCAATGATTACTTTGCAGGACTAAGACTGCCTCTAGTGACTGTCTATCAGACAACCACTAGAGGTGCTTCCTCGATTCTAACAGAGTTTGACTCCATTAAAATATGATGGATGTCCTCATGCTCTACATGAGGACACCCAGCATGAGTGAAAAGCTTTATAAGAAAGCAATGAGGAAATGACATCGGAGGAGACAGAGGGACAACGCTGCTGGAAGCAGGTAAGTGACTAAAGGGATTCTAATCCTTTATGTGCAGGAGGGGGGAACAAAGGGCACTATAGTGTTAGGAATACATATTTATATAGACTCCATTTAAAAGACATCTTTTGACAAACTATAGTCTGCATATTCAAATACACTAAATTGTCAAGGCTTCAGCTGGAGGTCCCAATAGTTTTCTTATTTGCTTAAATGGCCCTCTAATAAATTAACCTTTTTACACCCACCAGGCTGTCAGACAACAGGTTATTTCCTTATTGTTTAGCTCTGGAGAGCTAAAAGTAAAACGACAGTGTGGTCACCAGAACAACTACAGCTTATTGCATTTGTTCTAGTGAGTACAATCAGTCCCTTCAGGACTGAATTTCAGTGCAAAGGCAGTGATTACAGACTAGGGTTACCTCCACTTGTTACTGGCTACTAGATGTGCTTCCTGGGGCAGTGCTTCATAGTGTGCAACACAGACATTCTGTGTCTCCACCCTCTGCATGGAGACACTAAACTTTCCTCATAGAGATTCATTGATTCAATGCATCTATGAGGAGATGCTGATTGCCCAGGGCAGTGTTTGGCTTAGAGGCAGATCAGGCACAGAGCCAGCAGCAACAGACCGGAATAAAGGTTAGACTTTACTATATTTAGGGGAGCAATAGGGCTAGATAGAGTGTTTAACACTAAAGGGTCAGGAATATATGTGTGTGTGTTCCTGACCCTATAGTGTTCGTTTAAAAGATTACATCCAACCACCATGACCACTTCTACTTTTTGAAGTGGTCATGATGGTAAGAGTCTAGATGTGCAGTATTTCAGCTTAAAACACTGCACATCTAGAATTATATGTAGAGTTGAGCAGACACCTGGATTTCGGGTCCGGCAGGTTTGGCCGAACTTTGAAAAAAGGTCCGGGTTCGTGATCGAACTTGACCCCGAATGACTTCAATGGGGACACAAAATGCCTCTAAGAAAAGTCCTGGAAAGGGCTAGAGGGCTGCAAAAGGAAGTAAAATGGGGGTAAGAGTAGGACAAGTGCCCTGCAAACAAATGTGGATAGGGAAATCACTTAAAATAACTTAAAAAATAAAAATACAGCCGAGCCATAAAAAAGCACTAGAATCTTTGATTTTAGCATTGGAAGAACATAAATCAAAATCTTAAGCATGGCTGTCAGGAGGATCGCCAGAATTATCCATTTGAGAGAGGGTTGGAGTGCAGGGTATTCTCTTTCATTGTTCAAACTGAGCTCAACTCCTGATGCACAGAGAAAAGGCCTTCACAAGCCTCTGCTATTGTGGACATAGTTTATACTAAGTGACCCATAGGTTGAGGAGGCAGTGACCGTGGCGGTGTAGGTGGAAGCAGCGGTGGAGGAGGAGGTGGTAGCCAACACTGTTTTTATATATATTTTATTTTAATTGGGGTAGCCCCCAAAATATTGGGACATAGAAAAAAAGAAACATTTGCGGCCTGGGGTGCATGTCTTGCAGTCCTGATGCATGGAGAAATGCTCAACTCCTGATGCATGGAGAAAAGGCCTTCACAAGCCTCTGCTATTGTGTACATAGTTTATACTAAGTGACCCATAGGTTGAGAAGGCGGTGACAGTGGCAGTGTAGGTGGAAGCAGCGGTGGAGGAGGAGTTAGCCAACCCTTTTTTAAAATTATTATATATATATATATATATATATATATATATATATATTTATTTTTTATTATTATTATTATTTATTTATTTATTTTTAAATTGGGGAAGCCCCCCCAAAATTGGGACATATAAAAAAAGACAACTCTGTTCCGCATAGCGACTGACCCGTGCGTGCTGCAGCTGAAACTCCACATTGATATATCTGGGTAGTTTTTCAGGAATTTCTGCACCACCAAATTCAGCCCATGCGCCAGGCAAGGGATGTGCGGCAAACCGGCTAGGCCCAGAGCTACTACAAGATTTCGCCCATTATTGCACACCACCAGGCCGGGCTTGAGGCTCAGTAGCAACAACCACTCATCGGTCTGTTGTTCCATGCCCTTCCACAGCTCCTGCACGGTGTGGGGTTTTCCCCCCAAATATATGAGTTTTAAAACAGCCTGCTGTCGTTTCCCCCTGGCTGTGCTGAAGTTGGAGGTGAAGGTGTTACGCTGACCATATGAGGAGGTGGTAGAGGAGGAGGAGGCAGCAACAGGAAGCAAAGCTGTGTACCCAAATAAAGATTGTCAAACGTTGTATCCTGGAACTGTGTCCCATCCGGTTACTGGGGAAATGGGTCTGACCTATTCTAATCAAAGGGGATAACCATCGGTTACCCAGGTACTGCTTCAATTGGTGGCAAGCTGCAGAATCCCATGTCCCTGCCAACAGACCCATGGACTACAGTGCTCTAAAGCGACCTACACTGCAGGACTTGTGTGGAGCCAGAGGAATAACGTCTGGTGGGCGTAACAAGGCCCGAATTGACTGCTGCGCTCATGGAGGACGACCAGGCACGCAGTGAGGCAACGAACCCCAGCCAGGGGCCGGAGATGAGGAGGAAGTGCGCAAGGAGGTGGAATGGCGCCTGGCATATTACCGAGAGCCACCCTCAGAGGAGATTGTCAGCAGGACCTTTTTGGAGGTGCAAGCCTATGTCCTTGCCAATAGACAGAGGGCAACCTCCATGAACACAGATGAAGGAAGAAGGGAGCAGAGGGCGCTGGGAAGCACAACCACCCTGGCCTACAAGCTACCATACAATGCCTTCAAAGAGTCCAAGGAAGCAGAAGAAGGCATTGATTACTTTTTACAAGACTTGGAGCGCCAGTGCCTACTCCAAGACGTGGACACCAGCGACTGGGTCACCATCCTGGCCAGCAAACTAGTGGGGAAGGCAGAGGATATTTACCGGGCTGTACCAGAAGAGCAGATCAGAGACTATCCCTTTATTACCCAAATCCTCCTGGCCCGGTATGCGGTCACCCCCGAGCAATACCGCCAAACGTTTAGGGAGACTTGGAAAGGGAAGAAGGACTCCCATGCGGAGTGGGCATGGCGCATCACAAGGGCCACCCAGAACTGGCTCAACTCCCATCAAGGAGATCACCCAACGACAAGGCGATGACGCATTCGTATGTCATCCATATCAACTTTCAATGCCATTTACTGCGCCTACCATGGTGAACACGGGTAACGAGGAATCAGGTTTCAATTCCGGAGAGGGAGCCTGAGAAACAGCTACCACATGCAAGCAAAGCAGCGGGCGTGCAAATGACCTACTCCCGACGCGGGAAGGTAGTGACGACAAATAACAATACAGGACTCTTTAGAGGCCCTGTAATTGTAATGAGTCCACTTGAAATCCTTTAACTCTGATCAATTGGAGGGCAAGTCTGGTGCAGAGCGACTGACCCGTGTGTGCTGCAGCTGAAACTCCACTATCGCCTGCTGCTGCTAGCACAGTCTCTCCAGCATGTGCAAGGTGGAGTTCCACCTTGTGGGCACGTCGCATATGAGGCGGTGAGCGGGAAGGCCAAAGTTACGCTGCAGCGCAAACAGGCGAGCAGCAGCAGGGTGAGAACGCCAAAAGCGCGCACAGCCGCTACAGGGAATGTCACATCCTGTTCCAAGTTGCAGATCAGTCTGGTGATGGCTTCTGGTATCCAGTACTATTTTTACTGAAGCTGCATCAGGGTCCTGGTATGTGGCCGCACAAACGCTGGTGCTCAACACCAGGGGGCGTGCGGTTACCCTGCACCAGACCCTGCTAATCCATTCCACACTGTGACTCCTAACTTCAACATCAGGCATACTTGGTCCCGGTCGTCCGACCGCCGCCCAGACAGTGTCTGGGTCCCACGCACCGGACTGCGAAAGGCTTGTTAAATCTGTTATGGTACTTTTTATCGCTTCAACTGTTACTTGGATAACTGTGGGAATTCTAAAGATAATACATGTCGACGAGCGCTAGGGGACAGCCGCTCTGCTTTTGCGCTCTGCTTTTGCACCCTGCTCCCTGAGCGGTGGGTGGGGGCCCAAAATAAAGATAGGGGGGGGACCTACTGTCGCCCCCCAGCCCCCACCCCTGAGCGGTGGGTGGGGGCCCTAATAAAACAATAAGGGGGGGGGACCTACTGTCCTCCCCCCCGGCCCCCACCCCTGAGCGGTGGGTGGGGGTCCTAAATAAAACACCCCCCCCAATCAAGGTGACTAGGGGTCCCAACCCGTTGCACTTTAAAAAAAAATAAAAAAAAAAATTATAAAGCCTTGCCCCGCCCTGCAATTAGGCTTAGAACACTCTGATTGGTGGGTTTAAGCCAATCAGAGAGTTATGAGTCATTTTACACAGCGTGGGAAAATTCAAGAAGAACTGATTGGGTGGATTTTATTCCCCCCTCACTATTTTTAGGGTGTGGGGGGTAGGTAGGGGATAGGTTTTTTTTGGGTGGGGGGGTGACTAGGGGCTTGGGACCCCTAGTCACCTTGATTGAGGGGGGCGGTTTCATTTAGGGCCCCCACCCACCGCTCAGGGGTGGGGGCCGGGGGGGGAGGACAGTAGGTCCCCCCCCTTTATTGTTTTATTAGGGCCCCCACCCGCCGCTCAGGGTGGGGGAGGACAATAGGTCCGCCCCCCTTATTTTAATTTATGTAATTTTTTTTTCAACAGTGAGCAGCCACAGCGAGTAGGGGCATTTGGGAGATTTTAATCTCCCTTGTGCTATTATGGGGGTCATACTGACCCCCATAGAGTGAGGGGGGGCCTGGGGGGCTTATGAAGTGGTGGGGAGCACTGCTCCCTGCCGCTTCTATAGTTACATATTACAAGGAGGGAGCTGCGTGCCGGTAGCTCCCTCCTTGTAATAACCTGCACGAACAAACTAACACTGATACTCAGATACACTGAGATTCAGTGTTAGTTTGTTCGGCTGATATTTCCATTCATTCATTCGTCTGTCTGATGAATGAATGAATAGATGAAATTCCCGTTCGCATGTCCAGGTGTTTCACTGGGCATGTGCAGGAATCTCACAGTCTATCTAGTGTGGGCAGGTGACATATCCCACAGGGACTTCCTCTACCCACACAAAGATGGCGGCGCCCTGAATATAGATCGGGGCAGAAAATAAAGATTTAAAAAGAGGTAATCTGGGGGGCTTAGGGGTATTTGGGGATGACTAGGGGGTCAATTGGATGTAGTGGAGGCGGGTTAAAAAAAAAAAAAACGGGATTCGGCATGACAGTGCCGCTTTAATTCGCCAAATGTTTCCCGTGGGAGCTTTCTCAAAGGCAGGGATAGTGTGTCTAATCTGGGCAGTGATTTTGTCCATGAGAAAAGGGGCTTATTTTATCCAAGATCAGTTCCTCAGGATGGATCGCTGTTTGCAACCAGGACGAAATCATGGAAGCCTGACCTTAAATTGGTGAGGGCTACACGCTCACTGTCATTTGTTTTAAACAAACAAAAAAAAACATTTTTTAAAAAAAAAGCTAATTTTATAAAACATATATACCATAGTTATATCATACTGGCCCTTTAATGTATATCATGTGACTTATTTTAGGTATTATTAAATTCAGACAAACTGTACATTGTTAGGAATTCACCACAAAGTTGTTCTACTTTACTACAAAATTTGCAAATTCCCTGGCAAATTAGAGCTTATTCATAGTTTAGTATAGTACAGGCCTCACAGCACAGCAGCTGAATTTATGTCATAGACTTTTTTGGATATAGCATATTTATAGTGTCTGAGTGTACTTCTTTACCAAGTTGGCTGTTTCTGCACATATCCAGTCCAAAGTAGGAATGGCACCCAGCAATCAAGAAAATGGATAAACACTATGTGGTCACTCAGATAAGGGAAACTACAAATCCCTCAATATAATCCAAGTAGAAATAAATATCCGGGCACACATTCGTCTTCCGAAGATGCAGACTTTAGTTAGAGTGGAACAGGCAACATTTTAGCTTGAGAAAGGCTCAAGAGCAGAAACATAGAAACATCGATGTGACAGCAAATAAGAACCATTCGGCCCATCTAGTCTGCCTATATTTTAAATACTTTCATTAGTCCCTGGCCTTATCTTATAGTTAGGATAGCCTTATGCCTATCCCACGCATGCTTAAACTCCTTTACTGTGTTAACCTCTACCACTTCAGCTGGAAGCCTATTCCATGCATCCACTACCCTCTCAGTAAAGTAATACTTCCTGATATTATTTTTAAACCTTTGCCCCTCTTGTTTTGGTAGTTTTTCTTCTTTTAAATATACTCTCCTCCTTTACTGTGTTGATTCCCTTTATGTATTGAAATGTTTCTATCATATCCCCCCTGTCTAATCTTTGCTCCAAGCTATACATGTTAAGTTCCTTGAATCTTTCCTGGTAAGTTTTATCCCGCAATCCATGAACCAGTTTAGTAGCCCTTCTCTGAACTCTCTCTAAGGTATCAATATCCTTCTGAAGATACGGTCTCCAGTACTGTGTACAATACTCCAAGTGAGGTCTCACTAGTGTTCTGTACACTTCCCTCTTTCTACTGCTAATACCTCTCTCTATACAATCAAGCATTCTGCTAGCATTTCCTGCTGCTCTATTACATTGTCTGCCTACCTTTAAGTCATCAGAAATAATCACCCCTAAATCCCTTTCCTCAGATGTTGAGGTATCAAATATTCTGTACTCTGCCCTTGGGTTTTTACGTCCAAGATGCATTATCTTGCACTTATCCACATTAAATGTCAGTTGCCACAACTCTGACCATTTTTCTAGTTTATCTAAATCATTTGCCATTTGGCTTATCCCTCCTGGAACATCAACCCTGTTACATATCTTAGTATCATCAGCAAAAAGACATACCTTACCATCAAGACCTTCTGCAATATCACCAATAAAAACATTAAAGATAATGGGTCCAAGTACGTTGTCTGTTCCACTCTAAATAAAGACTGCATCTTCGGAAGAACCTATGTGTGCCCGGATATTTATTTGTTTTTCTGCACATCTCAATGACCTAAGTCAAGTTGTTTTTTATTTTAAGTCTGGTCTTGTAGTGTTACTAAAGATTACAGTGGTAAAGTTGATTTGGGGAAAGTGTAAATTGGAGAGAACGCACAGGCTGGCCAGAGGTAAAGATTACATTATGTCCTTTACATCTCTTTTACCTCATTATTACAACTTACATGTTGGTCTGCCTATGACACAAATACATAAACACACGCCATTAAACGCAAATACAAAGAACTTACTTTAACGATTTCTCTACAACTTTTGTTTTGAAGATTTCTTCTTGGTCCAAATTCACGGTGCAGAAGCAGTCTCTCATTTTGTTTGGTCCTGGATAAGGCAGTAAATTCTTTGCTGCACCTACAAAAGTTAAAGAAATTAGAACAATTAAAACTATAAGGAAAATAAAACAGAGTTTTTTTGTCAATATACAAAATATAAAGTGTAACTCTGTAGATTCTAAAATAGAATGCAGCTGTTCCTTCAAAACTGGTTCATGGATTGCAGGGTAAAACTAGGAAAGGTTAAAGGATCTTAAAGGACCCCTATAGTGCCAGGAAAACATACTCGTTTTCCTGGAACTGAAGTGCCCTGAGGGTGCCCCCACCCTCATTGTAGGGATCGACCGATATTGATTTTTTAGAGCCGATACCGATACCAATATTCTGTGAACTTCAGGCCGACAGCCGATATAATTTGCTGATATTCTGTACATTTACCATTTTGGAAAATAAAAACTATTTCTAAAGGTAAATGCACAAAATATACATGCCATGTGTAGTGGATGCAGTGTGTTTAGACAGGGGAGCTGTGTGTGTTTTTGTAGTGTGTGTGTAGTAGATGCAGTGTGTGTGTTGTGGATGCAGTGGGTGTGTTGTGGATGCAGTGGGTGTGTTGTGGATGCAGTGTGTGTTTGTGTAGTGTGTGTGTTTGTGTAGTGGATGCAGTGTGTATTTGTCTAGTGTGTATATAATGCAGTGTGTTTGTATAGTGTGTGTATATACACAGTGTGTTTGTGTAGTGTATGTGTATATAATGGAGTGTGTGTGCTTGTATAGTGTGTGTATATAATGCAGTGTGTTTGTATAGTGTGCATTATATAAACACACTACACAAACACACTGCATTATATACACACACACACACACACACACTATACAAACACACTGCATTATATACACAGTGTGTTTGTGTAGTGTATTATTATTATTATTATTGCCATTTATATAGCCAACAGATTCCGTAGCGCTTTACAATATTATGAGAGGGGGGATTTAACTATAAATAGGACAATTAC